ATACATACATACATGCATACATGCATACATACATACATACATACATACATACATACATACATACATACTCGTACATACCTTGCAGATGGTAGATAGATAGATAGATAGATAAAAATGCTGAAATAGTATAGGTTTAACAACCTTATCAACACTGTTATTTTATTTAAGAGGGGGCCTTTGCGTTTAAAGTGCATCTCCGAAAGAATCGAGCCAAGTGGGATATTCATGTAAAGTGCCTTTCCCAAGGGCACAACGTGGGACCGAGTTGAGGCTAATAGATATATAGCGAAAGATGGGGAGATAGATAAAGATGTATGGCTAGATAGGTAACTAAAATACATAATTTAGATTGTGCAATTGAGGCGTAAAAATTCCTACAAAAAAGGAGACAGAGGACTGGTGTCTATGGTATAACGGTTAGCCTTAGTCTTCTTACGTGAGACGCCAAATTGGGTCGCTCTCAGCAGTCGCTAGCGATGAGTCGTGACCACATCACACACCACACACCACACATCACACACCACACATCACACACCACACACCACACACCACACACCACACACCACACACCACACATCACACACCACACATCACACACCACACATCACACACCACACACCACACGTCACACAACACATCACACATCACACACCACACATCACACACCACACATCACACACCACACACCACACATCACACACCACACATCACTCACCACACGTCACACACCACACACCACACGTCACACAACACATCACACACTACACATGACACATCACACATCACACAGCACACAGCACACAGCACACATCACACACCACACATCACACATCACACATCACACCACACATCACACACCACACACCACACATCACACACCACGCATCACACACCACACATCACACACCACACACCACACACCACACATCACACACCACACATCACACACCACACATCACATAACACATCACACACCACACATCACACACCACACATCACACACCACACATCACACACCACACACCACACATCACACACCACACATCACTCACCACACGTCACACACCACACACCACACGTCATACAACACATCACACACTACACATGACACATCACACATCACACAGCACACAGCACACAGCATACATCACACACCACACACCACACATCACACATCACACCACACATCACACACCACACACCACACATCACACACCACGCATCACACACCACACATCACACACCACACACCACACACCACACATCACACACCACACATCACACACCACACACAACACACGACACATCACACAACACATCACACACCACACACCACACACCACATATCACAAACCACACATCACACACCACACATCACACACCACACACCATACACCACACACCACACATCACACAAC